TTGACTTTTTAACACAGAATTATTATAATTGCTGAAATTTATGTGAAAATGCCATTATGTTGCTGCCTGGACTGTATATAATATATTTAAATGATCATTGTGTTTCGTTGCAGGCATAAACCTGTGTGTAACATTAACGGGAAAATGTGTTTGATTCAGAGGAACTTTTACTTTTTCAAAGCGAAATAAAAATTTCTGTTTATCTGTAACTTCTTTTATTAAAAATTAAAATTATTTATTTAAAACTCGATGAATAAATGTTTTAGTAAATGGATTCTTCATTTTATAGCTGTTGTTTTAGAAACAAAAGGATACAAACGTGAATATTATTGTTAATTCATAACTAATTAAAAACTTTAACAATTTCGTATTTTCATGTTTCATTTCGTGTTTATCAGGTAGATTGTGATATTTATGATTTTAATAATAATCTATATTGCAATTTCAGTTTAGCCCAGCTTTACTAGGAGCACTATAGAGAGCAAAATTATTTTAATATAATTTTCACTGTAATATTTTCTCTTCGTGTACCTCTATCCATGATATTACAATTATAAACTGTTATTGCATATAGATAAATATTTGCTTTAAAGGCGATATAATCGCTGGAAGAATAAATTCACGTGGCAACGTTAATGCAAATTGTCAAAGTGTCGTCAAAGTGTCAATGCAAATTCGCGTTGCGCGTCCGCAAAGACGTGCAAATCGACACGATCACTTCTTCCTAGCCCCCGGATCGAAAACTTCGTCTGTATCCGGTATGGTAATCGCGAAATACACTTGCCGACACGTCGTACAGACTTGCGAGATAACTGATAACGATACCGGGTTCGCTCCACAGACCGAACACACAAATTTCGGTTTTATCGAAGCGCCCGTTAAATCGCTCGTAGCCCGAGAAATTGTTGAAGTCGTCAAAGTCGTCGATACGAGGGCGCCCTTCGACGCGATAAGGGAAGTCGGGGCCTCCTCCCCGTATTATGAACCACACACTTATACACGTGTACGCGCGCACGAAAGAGTCCTGAACGCGCGAACTATGATCGTACGAAGTCCGAAATGACCGTACGGCGAAGTTTCACGTGCGCGCGAACGACGTCGTGCCGGTTTCCACATGCGGGGACGCGGGAATGGGAGTCCCGCGATGAAGTTGGACGCGCAAGTATCCGACAAGCATTATTTGCAAACTCGCCACTTGCCGGCCGAGGGTTATCGGCCATTTCGCAGTCGTGCAACTCGCCAGTCACGCGAAGATACGGAGCTCGCGTGCCGCTCAGATCGGCAAGCCGTGCAGGCCCTCATCCGCGCCCAACGCCCGGGCTAATTCGGTTGTGCGACCGGTAATAACGCCATTTTATCGCGCTATCTGGATTCAACGAGTCGCTCGAATTTATCGATAACGCTGCTTTATCGGCCCATTAATGTCACACGCTAATGACCGTCAAACATCGAAGCGCCACGCGGCGGTGTATCGTGATTCGTGAGCAATTGAGATATTGATTCGATTATGAGCGAAATATTTGATGGGAAATATTTGCGTAGGAAAGAAAGCAAACAACAAGCGAGCGAGCGAGCGAACGAACGTACGAACAAACAAACCGAAGGAGGGAACGGAGATCTCCCATTTCTTTGTCGTTGTCCATCTAGCTAACTTGTAAACTCTATACAGGGTGTCCGGTAACTGATTGAGCAACCGCCGTTAACAGGTAGAGCAGGTCAAAATAATCATTAAAGTTATATACCATTTTGAAATTTTCTCAATATTTATTTCGTAATTAATTAAAATGTATAAACGAATCAGTGCACGAGAAGCAGTAAGGCTCTGTATATAAAAGAAATGGTTTACCTCTCAGCAACGATGAATAAACAGCTGATTTCGAGGCGGAGTAACAAGCGACACGTTGCTCCGCCTCGAAATCAGCTATTTACTCATCGTTGCTGAGAAGTAAGCCTCATTCGTTTATACATTTTAATTAATTACGGAATAAATATTGAGAAAATTTCAAAATAGCGTATAACTTTTATGATTATTTTGACCCGTTCTACTTGTACGCGGCGGTTACTCGATCAGTTATCGGAGATACCCTGTATAGCGGGCTTCTTCTCCCTTAAAGTGAATCAGTAAAATCGTTTCTGCGTTTGAATCGGCGAAAGGAACATTTCATCGACAATCAATGGGTATTCATTGATTTTCAGCGAAAACGCTCCCACTTCGCTATTCCGTCTCACTGATCTTGACTAGTGGAGGCAAAATTTTACTGCGAAAGCTGTACGCTACACAAATTCGTTATACGTCATACCAAATCCAACTTTTTGCATTCGTGACGATAAAATTAATGGCTTCCATGCGCCTTGCGTGTGATGACACTGTCTGTGAATTTTTAGGCTTTCGCGGTGTCCATGCACATTAGATTTGGCTTCCGAGTGTGAGCCGCGTGGATTAATCTTTATTTGATTCTGACGTTTCGCGAACATTTCAGTCCGCTTCATCAGCATCGTTCCTCCCTGATGAAGCGGACTAAAATGTTCGCGAAACGTCGGAGTCAAACAAAGATGAATCCACGCAGCTCAAACTCGGAAACCAAATTTAATAAGACACTGTTTGTGTTTACAAATTGCATCAATATTGAAACTATGGGTTGAATAAAACTGTTAACTTTCATAAATAAAAATTATTCGTAAACTTCTAACTTTCGAATCATTTTCTTCGTGTTTTAAGTTAATTTTTACATCAATATTTAAATATTGCTAGGAGTTTATTTTTAACAGTTATTTTAAAAAAGAAACATATTTTTTATTCATTTTATTCATTTTATTCATTTTATTTATTTTATTCATTTTATTCATTTTATTTTTGTTATTCATTTTAAAAAAGAAACATATTTTTTTAAATTTACTTCAAAGTACATTATATTTAATTATATTAAATTATTAAATTATATTAATTATATTATATTATACTTTTCAAAGAATTAAAATCAGAATATAGACACAAAAGAAAAAGCAGGTTATAATTTTTTATATCTCAAGGATTTATTTTACGAACAGAATATAAAAATAAATTTCGAGATAATGTAAGCGAACTATAATTATGTTGATAAATAATAATTACCAGTCTTAGTATGTATCCAATAATTGACGTTTAAGATATATGAATATAATGTAATAACACAATATCAATTTAAAGACCAAGTAATAAAGTTAATGTGATACGACATTTCACATTTCATTATGACGTCTGTGAGCTACGACTTATTCCTGTCGTTTTTACGTCATTATTACATAATTATAGAAGAATAATTGACGTGATGACTGATCAAAAATTAATGTGAAAATCACGTTACGTTGCTGCCTGAATTGTATATAAAAGTTTAAACGCAGGCATAAACCTACGTGTAATATTAACGCGAAATCTGCGTGATCATCTAGAGGAACTTTTAATTTTTCACAAAGCAGTATAAAAGTTTTTGTTTACTTGTAGCTTTTCTCTACTTTCAAAGAAATAAAAGTTTCCCATTTATTCAAAGTTTGATGAATAAAAGTTTTAGTAAACAGACTTCATTTTATAGCTATTTTCTTGGAACAAAAGAATATAAGTAAAAAAATTACTGTTATTTCATAATTAATTAAAAATATTAACATTTTCGCTTAATTCCCGATTGAAAAATGATTTATAAGCAAACAAATTTACTGAGGAACGACTCAGTATCAAGTTGCTCCTCTGTCTGACAAATGTTTGCAACAAATTCATAAAACTGTGAAACCGCATCCACAATCTGGAAACCACATCTAATATTTCTCCGCGTCGCGTGAAAGCTTCTATCTAAAATATATTCAGTTTATTTTTCACTAAAAAAACTCTATACTAATTTACACTAGATACACTAGACTAGTTATAGCTATAGCACCGTAGTCAATAAATTCTCACTAAAAAGATTAGTTAATAGTAACAACTGTTCCCATTTTTATGCAGTTTGCAAACATAAACAATGGTTTTGCATAAAAGTCACTGCCGCGTATCGAACGTAGGAAGTTGGATTTAACACAGCGTATAACGAATTCGTATATTACTTTTGCGGTGAAATTTTACTTCCACTGGAGAAAATCAATGAGATAAGATGAAACATCCAATTATTGATATCCCTCTTACTCATTGATACTCGAGAAAAACCTCGTTTTTCTTGCGACCGATATCGCAGTTAAACTTGTGACCTGCACTGCAAATCCAAGTGTGTTATTTTTAAACGCATGAATGTGTAATTCGACTGATGCTCTTTTCACACATTTTTTGCGGTTCCAAATCACGTCACTAAACACTTTCAAAATGTGTAAATTATAACTTGATACGTTTAAACGTGTCAAATGACGTGGTTTAAGACGGCAAGATTTAGGACGGCAATCCACATTTGGATTTGCGGTGTATTCACTCATCATCGGTGAAACGCTCCTCTTACTGATTCAGTCGGAAATATTTTCGCTGTTTCACTTTAAAACCCGTATTAATAGTCGTTACTTGAAACTTGTCTCAGGTGAAATACTCAGATTTTAATTTAGAATTAAACATGAATTTTTTCGCTAAATCGCAATTGCAAATATAAAAATATATCATATAATTCAAATAAAAAACTCACCTAACTCTAAATTCAGATTTCACGTAGGACAAGTTTCAAGTAACGATTATTAATACGGACCTCATAAAATTGGAATAAATATCAAAAAAGAATCTCGTTATGGAGAAATGCGAAGAATTCGGAGCGAGAACAGACGTTTCTCTCAACATTCTACACGTACAATTGAGAACTAAAAAGTCCGTAATTTTGGGGATGAGTTTGTGAACTCCTCATCTTGTCTAATGGGAGAATTCGTTCTCCAATGGAAGAATGTTCTCGTTGGACAAGGAGAACGAGTTCACAAACTCATTCCAGAAATTACGGGTAACCTTTTAGTCCTCCACTAATGGTACATATGGTGACTATCGTGGGACGCGCGCGTTCGTCTACCTGAATCCAGTAGGGCAGGTAAAAACCGGAGCACGCCAGGATTGAGGCCACAGTGGACAGAGTAGCCCACAGCACGCACAGCACTGTCATCTCATCGGTTTAGGAGCGTCCGCCTCTCTCCCTCACGCACCGCTCCTCATCCTCCATCCGTGACCACGTAGGGGTTGTTCCGCTTCACGCGCGGCTTCGCCGTCGCCGTCGGCCAGGGTCCCGACCGCGAACTTCGACGCGTCCACCCTTTCCAACGGGCTTCTCCTCGTTACAGCCTCTCGTAACCAGGCGGGAACCAGTCGCGCTTTCGACAACGCTCGGCGGTTCACAAACCCTCGCGCACTCTGCGCCGCTGTTAAATCGCGCGCTCATACACACTCTCTCTCCCCCCCTCCCTCTCTATCTCTCTCTCTCTCTCTCTCTCTCTCTCTCTCTCTCTCTCTCTCTCTCTCT